CGCGGTTCAATCCCCCAGCACCACATGCCAGCCAGCCCCGCCCCCTGGTGGGCTGAGCTGGCCACACACACACACACACACACACAAATAAATAAATAAATAAAATTAAAAAATGGATCTTCAGGCAAAACTCAGTGTTTTGGGGCCGGGGAGATGGCTCAGTAGAAGAAGCGCTTGCCTGACAAGTGCAGGGCCTGAGTTCAATCCCTGGTTCTGGAAAAAAAAAAAAAAAAAAGTGTATTGGCAGGGCTATGTTTTTGTTTTTGTTTATTGGTTTGTTTTGGTGGATGACAGGTATTGGGAGTTTAATTCAGGACCTCAAGCTTGCCAGGCAGGTGGCTGTGCCACAGAGCTAAACCCCCAGCCCCAAGTCTGTGTTCTTGTCTGGAATCTTGGGGAAAATATGTTTTCTCACTTTGCCTGACTTGTAGAAACCACTCATGTCCCTTGGCTTATGGCCTTCTAACATCCTCAGTGTCACCAATAGCCAGGAAAGGTTCTTGCTCACCATCTTTGGACCTGCCCCATCTGCTTCCCTCTTCCTGTTTCAAAGACTTGTGGAGGCCAGGTGTGGTGGTTCCGGAGGCTAAGGCAGGAGGATCAGTGAATGTTTGAGGCCAGTCTGGGCTACACAGTGAGCTCAAGGCCAGCCTGAACTGCATATCAAGACCCTGTCTCAAAAAGACACACACACACACACACACACACACACACATACCCTTATGAATGTACAGGGCTTACCTTAGTAAATCCAGAATTATTTTTCTTTTTTTCTTTCTTTCTTTTTTCTTTTTTTTTTTTTTCCCTGAGGTTCTGGGATTGAACCCAGGGCCTCACCATGTTAGGCAAGTAATTCTCCCAATGATCCTGTTTCCAACCTTGTCTCTTTAATTTTTATTAGCAGATTAGCAACTTTAATTCTGTCTGCAGCCTTCATTGCCCCCTTGGCATGGAATAAAACATTGCCAGGTTCTGGGGACTCAAACTTCTGAATGGACCTCTAAGGGTCATGTTTCTGCACCCATAATCATGTACCCAAGGAATTAAGGAGAATGGCATGCATTGTAAGACTGCTTCCTCTGCTCTCCTGTCTTTGCTGAGCACAGCTTGTATCATTTGGGGTTCAGGAAATACTTCCTGAAAGAGGGGGTGCCTGCCCATGTCCGTCCCCATTTGTTGGAAATGTGCAGGTGAAGTAAGCAGCCTGTGAGACTGCTGTTGAGGTGGCTGAAGGCTCCCCAGCACAGGGTTCTTCTCCAAAAGGCAGTGAGCTTTTCTCAGAGAGAAGTAGGATGTTACCTGTACCTGCAGACCCACTCACCAGCAGTATCTACTCTTAATGATGTGTGCCCTTCAGTCTTTCCCCAGAGCTCATGTCCCTTTATTTACCATGATGGGCCCCACTTCTCTGAAAACTGGCCTCACCCCCCCTTTTTGTTTGTTTGTTTGTTTGTTTGTTTGTTTGTTTGTTTTTGTACTGGAGATCCCACTAACAATCTTGAGCTTGCCAGACAGGCTATATCCCTGAGCCACCCCATCTTGTATTGTGTATCAGTTTTAACTGTCTGCATGGGTTGTGTTCTTGAGCTGCTACTGAGTCCCCTTGCTCTCCTGGGTCCACTGTGTAGCTGGCCTGGACACTGTTCAATAGGTCTTCTGGTTTCATATATGAAAGGAATCTTCATTTTGAATCTTGGGATGACTGAAGTCCACGTATTTGGAGTGGTGCTTATAGAAGAGAATCCCTAAAGTTTTAGGTTTATTTGGGGTGAGTGGACAAAAAGGGGATGGAGGAAATAGCAGTGTGGTCTCATTAGTAGCAGAGTTTTTTGGAGGTTGGAGATGGCCAAAGAACCACAGAGGAAAAAAATATACCTTTTTTTTTTTATTTTTTTTTATTTGGCGGAACCGGGGATTGAACTCAGGCCCTTGTGCTTGCCAGGGAAGCGCTGAAACTAATATACCAACAAGTGTCCTTGGAGCCTGTCCCTGAGGGAAGCACTCTGGGGAATGACATGAATTAAGGCAGTCTTTGCTCCCAAGTAACTATTTGAGGACACCCATGGGGGTTCCAGCCTGGGAAGCTGAGGCAGGAAAACTGCAAAGTCAAGTCTTTCCTGGGGAAATTAGTGTGGCCAAGTCTCAAAATAAGTGAAATGGGTTGGGTTCAGTCACCAAAAAACAGCAAGCACACATTGATGAAGAATTGAAAAAGGTCACTTTGCTCAGGTTAGCTGAGCTGGTGGCTATGAATGTGTGATGGTGAAGCAGTCTGGGAAAGCTTTCTGGAACTTTCCAAGAAATTTTCAAGGTGAACTTGAGGCCAGGAAGGAAAGGATGGAAGGACCCACTCACAAGTCAAGGAAAAAAGAGGCTCTTTGTCTAGCTAGTGTTTGGTTTGGGTAGGACCTGGAGATCCAGTTAAATACTTGGCTGGACAAAAGGTGTTTCCAGAATGGACTTGGGAACAAGCAGTGAGAGGGCACCTGTGCATGCCAGTGTGAGCCTTGCATGGTCTCTGCTTTTGTTCACTGCTAGATCCTCAGCCCTAAAACAGTGCCTAGCACAAAGAGAAAACCCACCAAAAACTGATTTAAAAGTTGGTCAAGTGATTATCAGTTGGTGAGAAGGCCAGAGTCCCCTGCTTATAGATGGCCTACGAAAGGACCAAAGGGAAAGGGCTCCTCCCAGCCTCTGAAGCAGGAACAGCTCTGGAATGTGTGTGAGGATACATGACTACAGGGTAGCAGGAGTAAGGCTAGAAATCAGACAAGATTAGGCAGGACAGGAAGGAGGTGGGGCTGTTATGAGTCTCCTTGCCAGAGGAACTTAGCTTGTCCAAAGTTGTCCCAGGGATGATTAGTTGTCCCAGCTTGCTTTTTTGTGGCCCTGGTGCTCTGATCTCTACTACATCTCAGGCCTCATACCTCTGACTTCCTTACTTCATCTACCCATATCTCCTACACTCTTTGCCTTGGTACTTAACCAACCAGGGGCTTGAGAAGCCAGCCTTTAGTTTCTTTGAGCCCCTATTATATACCTTCTATCTCATGAAAGTGAAATACTATATAAATTATTAAAATTTCCATCTTGCAGAAGAGAGCAGTTCAAAGTACAGTAGTACATGCACACTAATAGTCTGAGCTATTTGGCAGGCAGAGGCAGGAGGATTACTTGACCCCAGGAGTTCTCAAGGCCATCCTGGGCAGCATAACGGGAGGACTCTAGCTCAAAAAACAGGTAGTTGAGGGATAGCTCAGTGTCAAAACACTTAGCTAGCATTTGTAAAGCCCTGGGTTCAATGTCCAACAGCAACATCACCAAAAAGAAGGAAGCCACTGCAGCCTCAGCACGGTTAGGTCTCTATCAGAGTCAGTTTTGAGGGCCAGGGAGATGGCTCAGTAGAATAAGCGCTTGCCTGGCAAGCACAAGGAGCTGAGTTCAATCCCCGGTTCTGCCAAAACAAAATCAAACAAAAAAGCATCTCAGAGTCAGTTTTGAGATGGTCTTAATAAGTTGCCCAGGGGCTGGTGAGATGATTCAGTGGTCTAAAGCACCTACTTAGAACAAGCTTGGCAAAGCATGGGGACCGAGGTTCAATCCCCTAGCACCACATTTCAGCCAGCCCCGCCCCCTGATGGGCTGAACTGGCCCCACACACACACATAAATAAATAAAAAATTTTTAAAAAATAAAATAAGTTGCCCAGGCTGGGTTTAAAGTTCCAATCCTCCTACCTCAGCCTCCCAGGGTTTAATGGTTGTATACCACCATGACTGGCTATGGAAGGCCTTTTTTATACTATCTTTCACTTCTTTCTGAAATCCATTTGAGTCAGACTTTCACCCTCAGCACTCAACCAAAATTGAGTTTTTGCCAAAGTTGCTATTGAAGGGGCTGGGAAGATGGCTCAGTAGAATAAGTGCTTGCCTGGCAAGTGCAAGGGCCTGAGTTCAATCCCTGGTTCCGCCAAAAAAACAAACCAAAGTTGCTGTTGACTCCCATAAAATTGGTTAGTTTTAACCAACTCCATTGGTTAGTTTATGCTCCTTTACTTTTTTGATCTGATAGTAACAGTGGGCTTACCCCATCCTACCCCCTGCCCTGGGTTCTGGGGACCAAACTGTAGGACCTTGTGCTTTCCAGGAAGGTGTTTATGCTGCTGAGCTATCTCCCTGGCCCAAGTCCCTCATTTTGTGTCATATTGTTTGCTGTCTGTATTCCCCCATTCTGAGTCAGAATGTTTGCACACTGCAAATGCAAGGTTCCGAGGTCAATCCCCAGTACCGGAAAAAAAAAAAAATGTTTGCACTGTAGTGTTCCTGGTAGATAGAACACTGCCTGACAGATAATAGGCACTGTTTATATGCCAATAGGTCTCACCCACTCTGTTCACAACTCTCAATACTTTTTGTGTGGCTGTGGATTAGCTCACTCTTTCTCTCATGTTAGAATAAAATATCTCACACCTACAACTCAAGAGGTTTATTTGGTTCAGGGTGTCTGAGGATTCAGTCCCTGATTGGCTGGCTCCAAGCCAAAAACATCTCATCATCTTCAGCCCCACATGACTAATCCATCCTCAGATTCTCCACCACCTCTCCTGCTACCACTCTTGCTGCTTCTTGCATCCACCTTGTGTATGTGTGTGTGTGTGTGTGTGTGTGTGTGTGTGGCACCAGGGATTGAACTCAGGACCCTGTGCTTGCTAGGCAAGCACTTATTCTACTGAGCTATCTCCCCAGCCCGTATCCACTTTTAAGTGGTCTCAGGTTTGCCCGCTGTGCTGTGTTGTCATGCAGCCACGAGTGTCTCTGCTGAAGATACAGGTGAGCTCCAGTTGCTCCTCTGCTCTCAGACTTCCCGGTTGCTTGTGTCACACTTCAGATAAGAGCTGGACTCCTGGGGACCAATAATCTTACCCCCAAGATCCCTGACCTCTTACCATGCACTCCAACTCCACACAGGCAGCACCCTCTTTGCGGTTCCTGTCATCTGAAATGCTGTTTGGTACCTGCTTCTTCGACAGCTCCTCACTTCCCCAGCATCTCTGCCCCCTTGTGAGCTTGCTCTTTATTTGGATGCCTTTCCCTGGTGTTTCTTAACATTGCATCTGGCCCTGTGAAACATACTACACTTTCTGTTCGCTGATGTTTCTTTTGGCTCTCATCACTGAGATGTAAACTCCAAGAAGGTAGCACACTCAGCCCCACTCCCTGCTGTAACTAGCAGCATGGAGCAGAGTGGTGGGCACATTGAGGCTGTAGATGAATTATGTGTTGAATTTATGAATAGATTGGAATTCAGTCTTCCCTCAAGGAGTTACAGCTTATCAGACAGTCTAACCACTTTACCAGAGATGTAGCTCAGTGGCATAAGTGCATGCTTGGCAAGCACAAGGTCCAGAGTTTAATCCCTGGTACCCCCCCCCAAAAAAAAAAGGGGTGGGGTGGGGAGATGGCTTAGTGGAATAAGTGCTTCCCTGGCAAGCGCAAGGGCCTGAGTTCAATCCCTGGTTCCACCAAAAAAAAACCCCTTACCTGAACAGAACACCTAAGTTGCTAAATTGTACAACCTAATGGTAGCCACTAAGTCATTTTAAACTGCAGCAAAGCATGCTGCAAAGTGGTGCTCATCTTCTCTGCCACATTTTAAATAATTTTGTCTCAAAAACTGAAAAAGGCAGCTGTGTTCTGTCTTGTGTGTTGGCCCACAGAATGTACTTATTTTCCTACTTCTGTTTGGCTCAAACCTGCCTGCAGAGTCTCTTTCTTTTCCAACCTTTAGTGAAACGTTGCTACTGTTAAATAAATAAGCTAGAAAAAACAATTCTTTCAATACAGATAATATTTGCCTTCACTATTTTTTGCCTTTGCCTTGTATACAATGAAGCTTTTGCATGGGCCCATGTTGGGACATTTTTAAGGCTGTCCGGTGGCCCTAAGTACCTGTCTTGGTAGCCTGGCTTTGCTATAAGCAGCTTCCTGACACCACTAAAGGTAGACATCAGACTCTTATGACATAGTGACTTTGCAGGACATAGAGCCTGGTCAGAGTCACAAGGCAGAGCTGGGGTCCTAACCCAACTCTATGTTCAGTGCTTCTCTCTGCTCTGCAGATTCCCTAGTGTGCTCTGTGGTGGCAAAACTGAAACTGGTTCATGTAGGCAGAGTCCCTTAGGCCAAGCTGCACAGTTGTATGTGAAATGGAGCTGCTAAAAGGAAGAGCTGGGACAAGCTGCTACAGCACTAAGTGTATCCCCTTTCTAGGTCTCAGAAGGAAGGCTTTACAGTGACTTGTGCCCGTACCTGTGAGGTTGGTGAAGCTGACATCCTTCCATCCGAACCAGGCACAGGGCTCTGGAAACAGGAAAGGCCTAGATGTGCAGGGTGTGGTTTTCAGAGCTTTCAAAGTACTCTTAGGCTCTGGAGGGCCCTAACTCTGCTCTCTGCTCCCATTCCTGCCCAGCTCCCCCTTCGGGGCTCCGCGGGACACTGGATCTCCAGGTTATCCGTGTACGAATGGAGGAGCCCCCAGCAGTCAGCCTCTTGCAAGACTGGTCCAAGCACCCCCAGGGCATCAAGGGAGTGGGTGCAGGTGACACCCCAAAGTGGCCTGCAGTTCTCTCAGAATCCAGCACCACCCTAGGGGGACAACCAGAGGCAGACAGTGGGCTGTAAGTTCTTGCTTTCCTGGGGAGGGAGGGAAGGCAAGAGAGAGGAGGCAGCGTCCCCCTTTGGCTGTAACTCAGAGCTGCTGGCTTGGCCACCTGACAGTTTTAGAACTGGTGTCAAGGCAGGACAGAGGGGTAGGGCACTGGAGAATGTCTGCCTCATCAGACGAGATCTGAGGTAGGCGGGTGGCTGAGGCTGCGTGGTAGGGCATTGGGCCTGTGGAGAACACCTACCCCAATCCTTGGCTGATCCACACCTCTTTGTCCCCCCACACCTCCCACCCTCTCTGAACTCCCCGCTATTCTCCCCTGGCACAGTGCCTTACACAGAGGTGGTCACGACGGGGTCTGGACTGAGTCCCACTACCTCGGGGGACCCCTCTCCTCCCCCACTTGTTCAGACTCCTATACCAGGAGCCTCCATTACCTCTTCCCGCTCCATCCTGCCGAGAGCTCCATTCACCTCCATATTCTCTTTCACCTGTTTTCCTGTTGTATATATTACCTTTGTTGACAATAAATTATTTTTTTTTATTAAGAGAGTTCTGTGTGGGCCATCATTGGGGGAAGGGGCCTCCTAGAGCCAGCTTGGAAATAGGAAGCGTACAGGGTAGGCCTGGGTGGGAGTGGACACAGCCTGTCCCAGAGGGTGCAGTAGTGAACACTAGGGCAGGACTCATCAGGCCAGTCTTGGTGTCACTCACATAGGGGCCCCACCCCAGAAGTGGGGTCAGAAAAAACACATTTAAGTCTTGTACCTTCTGACTTTGCCTGCTAGAACTTCTGTCCAAACCAGGCCACTATGAGAGCCAGGGATGCTCATGCCTCAGAAGCTCAGCACTGTTGGGCCCTGCATAAAGTATGATCCTTTCTCACCCAACAAAGCAGAGGCTTGGCACATGGGTCATAAATAGCTATCCCTTTTTCAGTCTTGTCTTCCCAGCAAAGCTTTTTATCACCCTGTCCTTCACTTAATTCTACCCAGACCCTGGCCTGATACCTCCCACTGTCCAGACTCTAAGAGAGCCCACTTCTGGTCTGTGTTGCATTTGATATCCCCTGAACTAACCTGCCACCAGCCAAAACTGTGTGCAGATCCTGTCTTCACTGTCTATTCAGCACCTTGTGCAAGCCCAGTAAGTAGAAGCAAGTACCCACTGCTCCTGAGAAGTGGGTACGCTCAGGGAGAGGGGCATGGGACTGGGGGGCAGCAATTCCATAGAACACTGTCCTGAGCAGTTACATCAGCCAGGGAGGGTCCAGGGTGGGTGGGGTACACTGTTCTCCATGAGCTGGTGTCACTGGCAGCTGGATTTTGGGTCCTCACAGCTGTGTAGTTCTTAGGTACAGTCCTTTGCCCCATCTAACCTCAGAAGGAGCTTAAGATTATGGGGATGGGTGGAGAAAAGGCAATGTTCTGGTACTCCCTGCTTCTCTGCCTCGGGAGCTCAGCCCCTGTGGGTGTGCAGGGCCCAGGGAATAAATCCTACTGAAAACCCAGCTCTGAAAACACCAGTACTAGTCATTGCAGATGATCTGTGTCATCCTTTCAATGATGTGATTGTGTTTACTTTTATGCCAATGTATTTTTAAGACAATATGACTGCCAATGGGTATTTATACTTGAGAAAATATATATCAAAAAGCTTGTAAAATTGTGATACCAGTTGCACTTTTGCTGCTGTTTTGATTCGTGGCTTTGCCTCCTAGACTGTGAGCTCCTCCTGGGCAGGGACCAGGCAGCATTGACTTAATTTCCTAGCATCCTGTGTAGGGCCTGGCACATAGCAGGTGCTTAATAAATGTTGTCAAGTACCCTGTTGGTGTGTATTCCTGTGTAACATTTTTCTTGTGAAAGTTGGCCCCTGGAGTGTGGCTCCACTGTGGCATGGTGACAGTGGCAGGTAGGTGGTCCTCTGATCTCAGCTCCACATCCAGACCAGCTGGCATCTGCCCAGCCTTGGGGGAACTATGTTTATATGACCAAGAGCTGCCTGTGAGCACCTCTGGGCTCCTTGGGAGAAATGAAGAGGGACTGAGGGCATGACTCCAGCCCAGAATATGGGAGGACAACTGGATAGAAGCTAGAGGTTGCCTGGAACCCCCTTGCTTTTTCACTTTGGCTTGATGGAGTCCCTCCAACCGAGCCCTGCCATCCTGGCCCACTCTACCAAAAGGTCCATCTAAGTGTCAGTGATGCTGATCTGCTGTAGGTGTGCTAAGGACCAGCCAGGTTAAGGGTGGGAGTTTTGGAGACCTAAAGGGAAAGCTTATTTCAACACCAAATTGAGGGTGTAGTGTTTCCCCCCTGAACAGCAAAGTGTCCAACAATTCAGTTCTGACAGTAAATACCAGAAGTTAGTGCAGGTAGGGCTTATTTCCTCAGACAGCAATTGCAAATCTAAGCTGTCACATCTGTACTTGGACCCAACCAACTAGAAATTGGAGGTTCCCACCATGTCCTCCTGGACATTGTAATTTTTTATGATGGTTTACAAGTCAGAAACATTTCCTTAGTTTTACTGGTTTATCAAGTATGTTATAAATGATACAGATGAATAGCCAGATGACTTTCCATACAGATAACTGGTATGGAAAGGTCCCGCACCCGGGTCCAGGAGTGTCTATCCTAGGGAATTAAGGCAGTGCTGCCTTCTGGCTATGTGTGCTCTCTGACCCCCATAAATTCAATTGTATTTTGGAGGCTTCAGTAGAACCCCTTTCCTCTCTCTACTAAGCTGGGACTGAAAGTGCAAAGCTTGCTGGTCACCGTTGGTTCCTCTGACTACTGGCCAGTGCCCTCCAAGAGCTACATCTTTGTGTGAACACAGATACGGGGATGGGAAGGGTCATGTAAATAGCAAAAGATGCTCTTTTTTTTTTTTTTTTACAGTGTGTGCCACCATGCCCAGCTCAAGATATTCCCATATACTCAGGAAATTCCCAGTTTTAGGAGCTCTTTGTCTAGGAACTCAAGGATGGAAACCAGATAGAATGTATTTCTTGTTATATTGCAAATATTGTTTTTTTGGGTTGTTTTGAGACAAAATGTGCCACTGCACTTGGCCTATGTCACAGTAGTGCTACCAGTGCTTTTCATCTTTGGGCAAAGTCAGGAAACAGAAGAAGCACAGTTAGGTGTAATGCCTATAAACCCAACACTAGGGGCTGAAGCAGGAGGATCATAAATGTAAGCCCAGTCTGAGGAACTTAGACACTGTTACAAAATTATAAAAATTTTAAAGTGCCAGTGAGATAGCTCAGCAGACCAAGTGCCTGCTTTGGCAAGTGCAGGGACCAGGGTTCAATCCACAGTCCTCAATGCTGCACCAGCCCTGCCCCACCCCCCCCCCGGGCGTGCCAAGCCAGCAACCAAGTCTGGGTGTGGCGGTACATGGCACATACCCGTAATCCCAGCTCTGGGGAGGCTGAAAACAGGAGGATCACAATCCTGAGACCCTGTACCAAATACAATGAAAATAATAATTTTAAAATATTTTAGAAGTCAGGTATGGTGACACATGTTTTTAATCCCAGCACTCAGGAGGCTGAAGCAGAAGGATCACCATGAGTTTGAGACCAGCTTGAATTACCTAGTGAGGGGGCCTGCCCATTAGCTCAGGTGTTTAAGTGCCTGCTGAAACAAAGCAGTCAGGCTCAGGATGCTGTGGTTCAATCCTCTCATCCTCAAGCCAAACAAGACCTGATCTGAAGGCAATCTTCGTCCCCCCCCCCAAAAAAAAAAAAAAATCATGAGCTACCTACTGAGATCCTGTCTCAAAAGGCCAAAAGGGGAGCCGGGGAGATAGCTCAGTACAATAAGTGCTTGCCTGGCAAGTGCAAAGGCCTGAATTCATTCCCTGGTTCCGTAAAAAAAAAAAAAAAAAAAAGGCCCAAAGGGGTGGGGAGGGCTGGGGGTGCATGAAGCTCAGTTTCAAAGTTCAATTCCCAGTATGGGGCTGGTCACAGTGGGAGAATAAAAAGGAGAGGGAAAGAGGAAGAGGGGAGAGAAAACTCAAGTGTGTAGGATTGGGGCTGGAAAGAAAGTTGGGACCTTCTATAACGCCACAGGGTGTAACTTGGATCCTGGATCTGCAGCTCCTGTAGGGATCCTTCAGCCTGAGATACTTGATACTCTTTTAGTTGTCCTCAACAGAGTTACTTTTGCTTCCCCTCCCTTTGCCTAGCATTCTAATTTTTTTTTTTCTTGTACCAAGGATGGAACTTGGGACCTTGCCAAATATTTCTTTACAGAACCAAAACATCTGGTATGCAACATCAGAACAAGGCCCCTCTTTAGTCTTTAATTCCGTCAGCTAATACAAAATATGCAAATTGCTGTGATGTTTAACTTGCAGAAAAGTAATGTTTGTAACTATCCCCAGGAGGTCAAGGTCAATAACCTTGTTTTCCAAAGAGGGGAATAAAAACAAAAACAAAGCCACATTGGTTGTTTTTTGGTTTTCTTAATTTTTATTTATTTATTTATTTTTGGCCAGCTCAGCCCTGCTCAGAGGGTGGGGCTAGTGCTATGTGTTGCCGGGGATCAAACTGTAGTGTCCTGAGCCTGCCTGAGCTTGCCTAAGCAGGCACTTTAGACCTCTGAGCTATCTCTCTGGTCTTTTTTTTTTTTTTTTTTTTCGGAACCAGGGATTAGAACTCAGGCCCTTACGCTTGCCAGTGAAGCACTTATTCCACTGAGCCATCTCCCCAGCCCCTCTCTGGTCTTTTTTTAAAAAAATAAATAGGGGGCCTGCCCCTTAGCTCAGTTCTTTAAGTGGCTGCTTCAACAAAGAAGGCTCAGGTTGCTGTGGTTTGATCCCCACAACTCAAACCAGCCAAACCTGCCCTGCAGGCATTTGGACCAAAAAAAAAATCCTTCTGCCTTTAAAAAAACAGAACAAGACTCAGGGCTGGGGAGATGGCTCAGTAGAATAAGTGCTTCCCTGGCAAGCACAAGGGTATGAGTTCAGTCACTGGTTCCGCAAAAAAAAAAAAAGAAAATAATAATAAGTAAATAAAGCCACATTGTTTGGTTTTGGAGATTTAGCTCAGAGGCACAGCATCTGTCTGGCGAACACTTCCTGAGTTCAATTCTCAGTACTCCCCCTGCAAAAAAACCACACTCATCTGCCCTTGAGCATCAATTCCCTCTCTACAAGAGCCCTTTCAGGTACCTGAGTTCCCTAAGATGTTTTTTGGAGGGAGAGGACAATAGCTTCCCCCATCTTGGCACCTTCAACCTGATTTCCTTAACCAGCAACTCTCATTGTCTGAGCATTGGGCTTTCAAGTGGCAAGCACAGACTCAGGTGCAATAACAGTCCCTCTGTGTGAACGTAGTGGTCACACACAGGTACTGCACACAAACACATCATGAGCATATATCTGCACACCCCACACATATGTAGCTGGCCTCAAGTGAGGCTCAGTGTGTTTGGAGCCCTTTATACACTGCAAAGTCACAGCTGTCCTTAAATGTGTAGGACGATGAATGGCTGGGACAGAAGAGGGTCTCAGTGGGTTGTTGCCTATGGGTCTTCCCCACCTCAGCTGGAATCTTAGTACAGAGCACATGCTGACCTTCCAGATTCCACAGAAAAGGGGAAGGGTTACAGTGGCTCTGAGCAACCCACAAGTGCTTGACCAACACTTGGGACCAAGTTCCTCAGCCCAGAGTCTCTCCACCACCAAGTCTCCCTGAAAGGGCATACTCTCATTCTGTGCACAAGTGTGCCAGCCAAGAAAGACAAGCAACATCAGTGGCTTATATGTCTCCGAGGGAGAGGAGGCAGGAGCAGTGGATGATAAGGTGTCCAGCCTATAAGGATCAGATCCCACAAATGCTGATGAAGGATCCTATAGACAAGCTCTGTGTTCGGAACCATACGACTCATACAAGACACGCTTTTGGATTTCACTGCTTGCACCTCCAATGCCTTGCTTAGCATGTTCATCCATTTAAAGGTATATTAGTTGCTTTCTTGTCACTAGGACAAAATTTCCAACACCCACAACTTCATAGAAGAGAGACTGATTTTGGCTCACAGTTTCAGTGGATGCAGTCCATGGTTAGTTGGCTCCAAAACAGAAATGGCCCAGGAAAATGGAAAAATGACCTTGTGGAGGAAGTTGTTCACCACACTGGGCTCGAAGCAAGGAGAGGAAGACTGGGATAAGAATAAACCCTTACACATCATGCCAGCAGTGACCCTCTCCTTCCAACCAGACCCCACCTTGAGGTAACCAAGAGGGGGCTCTGGTGGCACAATCAGCATGAAGTACTTATATAAGAAGAGGGGCGGGGCCACCAAATAGCTCAGCAGATTGAATCACCTGCTTAAGCAGACACAGGAACCAGGGTTCAATCCCAGGTGTGCCTTGCCAGACCTACCACCCCTAGGGCACAGTGAGAGGGTGATTGAGACTGGGCATGGTGGCACACACCTGTAATCCCAGCACTTGGGAGGGTGAAAACAAGAGGATCACTATAAGTCCGATCTGTGTAGTGAGACCCTGTAGACCCTGTACTAAATACATTAAGAGGCTGGAGAGGGCTTTTTCTTTTTTCTTTAATGTATTTAGTTGTTACAGGGTCTCACTACACAACTTTGGTGATCTTCCTGCTTTCAACCTTTTCAGCGCTGGGATTACAGGTATGTGCTACTATGTCTGGACTCTGGCCGGCTCAGCCTACCCTTGGGGGTGGGGCTGGTGGGGCATGTGGTGCCCGGTGATGGAACCGAGGTCCCTGGTCTTGCCTACAC